AGCCTTTACAATGAGCCTCTTAAAAAAGAGAAAGCAAATGGTAAGAAATGGATTGAAACAAAACAAAGGTGAAAAAAGATAGCTAAACTGAGACAGGAATAAGCAATTACCTTTCAATATGGCAAAGTTAATACTCTGTTAATACACGTTAAATACTCTGGAAAAAAAAAAAAAAAAGAGTGAGGCACATGATGGTAACATTTCTGGAAGATCCAAAATCAGGAGCTCAGTCAAGCCCAGACAAAATACGGTGATTTCTCGTGATTTTAACTCAGGAATGGAGAATGGAACCAATGGCCACAGTCAGGTTCTCAGAAATTCTGATTAAAATATCTTACGAAATTGAAGGAAACTCTGCAGAGGGAAATCCTTGCATGCCTGCAGCTCTAAAGTAACAGAATGAGTTCATGAAAAGCCTATGAACTTTACTAGTGACAACTCAATGAAGACCTCTACTAATATGTAGTTGTGGAAAACAATAACATAAAATGTACACTTATTAAGGAAAATAGTACAAAAAGTATTACAGTGGCACTACGAGAGACAGCCAATATTGCTCAATTTGGAATACTATAAATGAAACTGTATATCCAATGTCAAAATGTCCAACACAGTAATACAGGAAACTCCAGAAAGGATGACAAAGATTATTCCCACCATGCAAAATCGCCCCTGACATGAAGATGGAGAAAAATGGAATTTTTCATTTCAGAAAGAAAATGAGACAGAAGAAACATGAGAAAAGGTAGGAAAACCACAAATACTGCAGACTTCTGAGTCAAGGAGTCACTCAGTAAAATCTCAGTAATTTAGAAAAAAACCAGAATATTTTTCATTCTTCAGATGAGATCACACAATTCTTTTGCAGACAATTTCTTTGGAGTAAAAACCTTCATATTATTAAAAATATCTCAGACATTTACATGAAAACCAGGAACATCTATTTAGAACAATTGACACTAAAAATGAATTTCAGAAGAAATGTAAGACTTCATTCCTTGGGAGCATCTAATTATAAATCATCTTATGTGTACTGCTCACGGAGTCCTCTTCCACTTCTCCGAGGCAAATGGTACTGGCCACTGGCCAGCCAATTCCACTTGCAAATGCCTACAACATCAATGGAGGCAAGAACAATTAGGACATCAGCATATGCCTAACAGAGATTTCCTCTCCAAGTCTCACTCTGACTCTCCATTTTATAAAAAGTGTCATCAGTGCTCACAATTACTACTAACAAAATATTTCTATCAGCAAAAAAGCCTTCAAAAGAAAATAATGTGAGGAAAGATAGAAATAGCTTTCTATATACTCTATTAACACTGGTATACCATAGGACTTTCAAAATACCTAAATGGACAGATTAAACTAAGAGCACAATATATGCCAGTTACATATCACTGTTTCTTGGAAATTGGATAAAACACTTGCTCTGAGTTTTGCCTGCTGATTCCCAACATCTGATAAAAATTTATAACAGATGGAAATGATTGCAAAGTGAACAGCACTCCCTTCATGTTCTCCATTCTGCTGATTTAATCACAAACACACTGAATCTGATAGTAATGAAACAATAGACTTGTTGTTGATGAGATCACCAAATGGCTTCCATAAAAACCTATCAGACACTGTAAAATATAGCCACCACAGATACACAGAATCCTTTTCTGACCTGCCATATCACCTGTCTATACAAAATAGTAAATTCTGTCATAGGGCAGCCTTAAATAAAACAAACTTTGCTTGGTTTGTAATTATATTGAAAAGACAGATTCAAAAAACACGATCTTGCCAAAAATGTTTCATAGGGTTAGCTGGCCTAGACATTTCCAGATTTTAGCATCCTTCCCTATTACGAAATAGCAACATTATTCCCAAGTGAGTCTGCTCTGCAGTCTCTATATAACGCATATTTTAAATAAACAAATCATATACAAATGATCTGCTACTGCAAACTACAACTGAGAACTCAGAGTACACAGTAGTTAGTAGTTCTAATAATGTAAAAAAGGCTTGAAGTTAAGCATGTGCTGAGGTGCTTGCAGGATCAATGCCAAATTGAAAGATCAGCTAAATATTCTACTCATCCTGTTGTATTCCTCCACAAGCAAGTACAGATTCTCTTTTTTATTAAGACTCAAAATGAGTAGATTTCTGAAGAGAAACAAAATAACTTAATTCTTCTAAAACCTCAACATAAAATTGCTTTTCTATACATAAAAATGTCATCAACTTAATGTCAGTTTAAAGACTAATTTGCAGAATGTTTCAAGTGTAGAAGCAATCACTGAGCCTCACTCAAAGCTAACAAAAGCCTCCTCTTTCCAATAGTACTATCTGAGCCTCAAAGGATCCAACAGGGTGATTCATCCAGCCCAAGGATCCTTCCTGGCTGCCCCCTCTTCTAGGGGCTCCTCTGATCCAGACAACAGAGAGCAGACTGGAAAGAATTTTTCTGGCAGCAAGAAAAAAACCTAGCTGGAGCACTGTCTTTCCCAAGCCCTCTTTTGTCACATGAAGGGACCATATGTACATGATGTGACAGGGGAGGGATGCAAGACTCCCTGGGAAAGTCAAAAGCTAGGATTTCCACTGTCAGAACAATTTCTCTGGCTTACATCACACTTCTTGTCCAGGTATGAGGGGCTCCTGAAGACAGACAGTGCTAGGTTGGGGCTGGATGAGAAGCTCTAGTAGCAGCATCCTGCTCCTTGTCTCCCTTCCCCTGTTTAAGGCCAAGAACACAGGCATACACAGTAAATACAGCACTTCAAGGAACTGATCTTCAGAGATGCACTGTACCATGCATTCACAACAAGCCAAGTAGTATTTCGGGAATTCTCTATCTCTGGAAAACCATGTGGTTCACTCGCCAGTCAAGCACCATAGTCTACAACTGCTTCTGTATCAGAACACAACCATGGTTAAGAGGACTTTTTAAGAACCCTTTGCCATATTTTTATGACCCCCTCTATCTAAATATGCTGACAGAAGGAGCAGACCGCTTTCAGTTGGGATTTCAGTGAGAACAGATGATCGAGTACCTCTGGTTGTCCAGTGGAAGAAGAGATCGTGTCTCACCACTTCCAAAGTTTGTTCATGATGCAGACATTAGAGACAGGACGCAATTAGAGATGCTGGATATGGACATTTTGTGTGGAAGGCGAGTTAGAATGTAAACAGAGATTTGAATGAACCTGAAAATTACATCCAAACAAATATGGGACAGAAATGTCTTCAACAGAATGTAAGCTACAGGTGTTACTCAGTTCTTTATATGACAAGGATGTGCGGGTATAAAATGAAATTGCAAGACAGCAGATTTAAAATAAACAAAAGGAAATATTGTCCACACTACTTAGAATTAAATTGAGGAATGTATTGCCACAAGACATCATACAGACCAAAAGCATGAACAGGTTCAAAGCAGCTAGATCTATTCACAGAAGAGAAATACACCAAAGACCATTAAACACAACAGGCCAAATGAACTTTCTGACTAAATAAGCCTTGAGATTGTTGGAAACAGGAAAAGTTCCACAGTAGTATCTTAGAACTACCCTGCTTCTGGACACTGTCAGAGACAGAATATTTGGCTAAATGGATCTTTGATCTAATCCAGCATAGTTTATTCTTAAATCAATTATGACTTCTAAAAAACTGACATTTATTACTTTGACTTAGCAGTGCATAAGCGTGGAGTGATATTTTCCATACTGGAGAGGTCCATGTTTAAAGGTGCATAAATATATTTGGTTTTTTGCTTGATTTTTGGATGAAGTATCTCTTATGTAAAATATTCCTCAGAGAAAGCGATCTGTCATTTTCTGGTTTTGAATGAAGGGGAAGTAAGCTTTTTCACAGCTCTAAGAAAGATCATCCTCATTTTTATGTAACTAGAAAAGCTTCATATAACTTCGAAAGCAACAACTGAGAGATATGTAAAGTTAAAACAAAAAGAAAAAAGCTTCTGTTTTTTATATAATGCATGAATGATTAAACAAGGAAGTTTAATAATCATTAGATGGATTCTGAAATATAATCAAGGCCCGACTCAGTATTTAGGACCTGTGTGAACATATGGAACAGATAATGCATGACCGTTATGCCACAGCTGATGCAGAGTTATCCAGCAAATGCCTGAAGACTATAGAATTAATTACACTGATGTATGCACAATCAGAAAAACTCCCCCAGGTTCCCACAGTGTGATCAAGCATGTATTTCAGTGTGCCTAGTATGTTCCATGCATCTGATTTTTTAATTTCAACTATAAAATTAGTCACAAAAATCAGCAACATACTAGCTTCACAGTAAGACTACTAAAAAAGATTTCAGCAAATCAAAGTGATAATTCCTATAGCAACTATTAACATCTGTGAAGAACAAGAAGTAAGGTCCATTAACTCAGAGTTACAGAAGCAGAATCTGAGCTCTACGTTATTTTACAGCAGAATATTTGAGCTGATCTGCTCCTTACCCCAGATGGATTTCACATTCTTATGAAGTAGTTCCATCTCTAATCTCTTTCCTTTACCCACTCCCTTCTCATGTGAAGAAAGAATGGCTCCAAAATGCCTCTTACGTTATTATCCCACATCTGTACATCAATTAAGCATGGACTGTATGTGAGCCAGAAAAAACATTTTGAGACCTCTTTAGACTGAATAGAAAGTATTTTTAAATTGAGCTACAGCAAGTCTCAAAAATTCAAATCAAACAGCAATGATATTTTATTTTTGCAGCAGAACTCAAAGTGGACCTGAATGATGTAATAAAAGTCCACTTCAGATGATCATCTCAGCCCTAGATGTAATTGAAAACACTTACTCTGATTTTAAAAGTAAAGCAGGTAATTGACTAATAATGAAAATTATTTGTATAAAATCTATTTTATGATGGTCAACATTATTTTTTATTAGCAATAACACAGAGATAACAGATCAGCATAATTAACCACATTATTTCTGTTATAAGCATAGTCTCCAATCCTGCACTTTCGTACTTTGCTTTACATGTAAATAATTCCACTGTGCTATTCAAAGTACAGTTTAATTTATTATACCTGTATCTCAAAATGAAACAAAATGCTAAAAAAAATTGGTAACACTATTAATTGTGTATTACATAGACTTAAAATATTGAGGCCGAAACACTTCCAAACAATTAGCTGTAAGCATGCAAGTAAAGTTAAGCTTATATTTGAACATTTGTAAGACAGGTGCAAGTTGACATGCATTTTATCCCAGGTACAACTGCTTCAATCAGCAAGTATCCTGCAATTTTAACCTTTTTAGGTTTCAGTCAATTACATTTTCATCCTTACTAGTCTAATTATTATAAAAATTGCCTAAATTGTATATTTAAACTGACATAGATAATCTTCACTTTTAGTATCAAAAGAACAGTTCCGCTGAAATTAATTTGATCAGTGCTGTAGAGGGCAATTATTTGTCAAATACAAACATTTTTGTTTGTATTTATTTATGTAAGTAAAGTAATATCTTCATCATGTGTAAGTAAAGTAATATCTTCATCATGTGTAAATATAGTGCTTGATTTAAAAAAATAATCTTCTGGATAATGCAACTGTGTACTGTTGCTTAAATAATATACTACATAATATACCTTCATACTATCAACATCCTACATAACATTCCTCATACAACGTCAACATCTTTTACAGTCTATAAAGTAATGCAAATTATTCTTAGTACAGACAAGTTCCATTAAACAGACAAGAAAACCAGCTCAGCTGTAACACTGATGAAATACTTCAATGACCTGCTGAATTCAGTGCTCATTTGGGTTAAGAAACAAAAAGTAACTGGACTAGTGCATCCCTCCCTGAGGAACACAATAGGCCCATGGCATTGTAAGCAATGCTTTCAACGGTGTTTTTCATTACATATTTAATGTTAAGGGTGAACTTTGTTTTGCGAGAAATTCTCGGAGTTGATAGGAGTCTACTTGTGCAAAAAGCTCTCAGCATCAAACTATATGTTATCTCTAAGCTGCTTTGAATTTACATCTATTTAATCAGCTGAAAATATTAAAGTCTACCAGCAAACCAGTAACTCAGTGCTTAAGTAGTCAGACAGACAATTGCAATAATGATAATATCTGGATTTAAAAATCAAAAGATGCACTTTCCTTTTTAAAAGTTTTCATTTTCTTACTAAAATTGCTGGCAAAGAACATTTATTGCCAGTCAAGATCAATGAAGAAAAAGAATATTATGAGGAAAAAGATGAAGAGTTCATAGCAAGAAATAGTCTTACTGGAACAATAGAAAATAAAAAATTTTGCCAATACTCTTTACTAGGGTGCATCTTCTGTTTCAGTTTTTACATTGCACTTGTTATTCACTGCTAGAATAACAAAGGTCACTGGAACACAGAGAATAGATCCCATAATCTTCAACACTACTCTTTTTTTTTTTTTTTAAAAGGTTTTTTAATAGTATTTCTCCTTTCTATCATGAAGTGCATGCATAAAAAAATAAAAAATAATACATGTACAGTAGTTTAGGGTTTTTTACTTAAAAATTCATAGATACTAACAGGAGTATTGGTTACTCCTCTTCTATCACTATCAGCATTTTGGGATCTGTTTTTCATTTGTTGATTAGCCAGTAAAATCCTATTTCACTGAACTACTAATGATTATCACTAAATATTCTCAAATAAGGAATGCCAGTTAAAATATATTATATAAAACTCTCTCCTGGCTCCTAAGTTACTACAAATCAAATTCTCACAATAATTGTGAGAGTTTATCTGATTTTTACGTTTTAAAACCAAAAATACTTTGATGGTTGTAAACTAAAATCAATACTCACTCCTCCTTCAAGCTATTTGTGCCAAATTTTTTTCCTAAGCTTATTTTATATCTGTACAATCCTTGCATTTTCCCCAAAATCTTTCTTCTTAAAAAAAGATGTCAGGTATAAGTGGAAAAATACATCTGTATGCTTAAGAGTTAACATTCTAAAGAGTTAAATACAGACAAAGAAAGTGGATAAGATGAAGTTGAGGGATGGCAGTCATTTAACTTGAAGAAAACAAATTCATGGATTTAAGCAACACCTCAGATTTAACAGACTATTGAGAAGAATGGAAGTTTATTCTTGAAGTTAACAAGTATGAGATGATATTCAAAGAGGGAGTTTGTTGTTGCTTTTTTTTTTATAAAAAGAAAAACTTAAAACATATGTGCAGACGGCCCCAGTTAGGAGGCTGCAAAAGGAGAGCAGGGGATTCAGCACATATTTTATTAACTCAATTTTCTTTTCAGCTTTGCAGTTCACCTTTAAAATAAAAGCTTAGATTCTGCTGAAAACAGCAAAATTTGTGGAAAATCCATAGGGAGGCTCCAAATCCTTGGGATTTGTGGATTTTCTGTTTGAACAGATTTTTATTGTTCCTGTTGATTGCCCTAACACTCACTTTCAGGCACCAGGCAGCTTGAGTTATGTTATCTGTGGGCATTTAAACAGTACCAGCAGGTAGCTTAACTTTCCAAACCCATTTTTCCTAGAAGGTAGAAAGCCAAATAACTGTTTGGAGAGACATGAAAATGTAAAACGAATGATCTTATCAGTTTTGTTAATTTAACTTGGTTTAATAATTGCCACTGACTTGTTAGATATATTAAATTATAAAAATATTTTTATATGGACTGACATCTCTATTTTCATTCTTTTTGTTATTGCCTGGTCACATACTATAGGAAAAATGGCTCTGTCTGGGCTAAATGCCCAGAACATTTGAAGCATCTCACACTGAAACAATAGTGGTCTTTGTTGGACACCATCTGCTAGCAAAATTTTTTTTTTTTTTTTTTTGTTAAAATAATTGTGTGTCTGCTAATACAGATGCATTGCACTTCCACAAACTGAATTACATTTATGCTCAGACTAAATACCATTCATGTAAAAAGTGTTTCATTTCACATTGTGACTGAGATGGAGTTATACTGATGCAACACACATGAGATAAGCTTGTTCCATGTGGCCAGATTACTTCAGAAATACTTGATTTGCTCTTCTGGTTTTTACACAGTCCACCATGCTTTTAGTACCACAAATCTTACTTTTCAGTGATCATCTGTGTTTTGAATTTTTTGGTATTGCTCATCACCCTGTGTTTCTTCACTATTAGAGATGGGTGAACTGTCTTAGCTAAATTATGAATCAGACTGTAAACAGCACATTAATAAAATCTGCAGACACTAAATAATTGTTATCTCCAGTAAGAAAACAGAAATGCATTAACAGACACATAAAAAATAAAATATGGGCAGAAATGAACTCTGTCTTGAAATGTGTAAGAAAAAACATCTGGGAAAAATAGTTAAAAGTACAGATAGTCAATGGTAAGAACTAAGTAGTAACATGAAACTCACAGACATGCAAACAAAGCTAATTAAAGCCAGTGCATGGCTATATTCACAGTTTCCTTTAAAAAATTTTGTGGAATTAATATCCTGGTCATAACAGTCCTGGCTGAAATTTCACTGTGAAGAATGACATGACAAATGTTTAACTGATTTTTGCACCAACTAAAAAGGGATACTTCAAAATTTGTAGCAAACGATTTTTAAAACTGGAGGAAGAAAATGCAACTAGGTTACTTAGTTTATCTTTTCTACAGGACAGATAGCAATTTTTTGAACTCTTAGTTTAAACATCTGAAACAATAATTTCGTTATGCTTCTTAATTTGGGAAATATTGCTGATATCCAGTTGAAATGTTCTGATTCCCCCTTCCTTTCAGCATCCTCAATCATTTCTGTTGTTCTTTTAAAACTTCTGTAAGTAACATGCTATTTTACACTCCCAGAGCTGAGTAGATACCAAAGCTTTAGAAGTGACCTTGTGCCCACTGACCAGTTATAACCGTATATACATGCAGGCAATCACAAATACAAAATAAAGCATATTAGCTTAAATTAAAATGTCAACTACAGCTACTCAATGTAATTAATCTTGCAGTTGCACCCTATCAGTTAAATTCTTAACATACAGTGCATATTCAATTGTATTTCTAAACTGAATGGAATGCAAGAGATACCAGAAGATGCACAGATACTTTCCAAACAGATTTTTAGACAGATTAGTACTCAAAATGCATTAAAAAGTTCAAATGGATAACTGGCTCTTTTTGAGGTCTATCCCTTAGTAGGGGTTCTAAGTTCTTCAAAGAAGAAAAAATAAATAAACAATGCAGTTTGTAAAGAAAAGCTAGAAAATAAAAGCTAGACAGCTATTTTCATGAGGTTATAAAGCAATTAATATTTCTAGAGAATAAAAAGAGAATTCTCAAGTTCTACCATTTTGGGAGGTTACAGCCATTGGAAGACAAAACCAGGAACAAAACAGTACTACTTATCTATAAGTCTACTACTCTGCAAGTACCCAATTAATGTTCTATATAAATGCCTTCCAAAACATGCCCTAAATGAGTTTACTACTTGCACCATCACATCCTTAGAATGCTGATTTCCAAGACAAGGCCAGTGTTCATATTTCATATAATTTAGGTGAAGAAAACAGTGTTCACGGTATTATGAAGTAATGTATTAATAAACAGACTACAGGCCTGTAATGGTTTCACCAGTAAAATATTATACATATTTTTAAGTGCCCTGTATAAAAGCATAATCTCACTTGCATATCTCTTCTCAGAAACGACTAAACAATCATGAATCATAGCACATTTTGATTAAAATCAGTCTGAGAAGAACAAAAAGTAGAAATACAAATAATGATTTATATTATTGACATTTATATTGCAGGAAATTTCACAATTAGTAAAACCAAACTCTGTTAAACAGAATTTTAATAACAAAGAAAGCAATACATGCAGAAAGTTTCTTGTAACTCATTACTTCCCAAAGAATTTCCCTGCTTCAGGATTTGCCCTCAACAGGGATTTGCCTAACAGCCAATGCTGTTTCCAAGTGATATAGCAAAGTGATTACTATAATAGAAAGCATTAATAGGAAATCTCCAAGTTAAAACCTGGTAAGCTTTTTTTTTTTTTTTAACTGTGTATAATACAAGCCCTTAAAAATCAATAATGGTTTACTGGGTTTTGGTATGCATAACATGATCAAAGTATTCACAAAACCGTAAAACCATGGAACTACTAATTGCATGTTCAAAGCATTTTTGAAGTACACTCCATGTAAAAAATGTATATAGCAATTAAAGAAAAAAAATGAACTGCGCACTTACATGGAAGCTGCTGTGCTGATGTGTTTATGTCCCACAGCTGGGTAAATACATCTTTTATGTAGGTTGCCTCCACCTGCTTTTTGTTTGGTTTTTTTTTTGTTGTTTTTGTTTTTAAAGTTTGTTCGCAAGTTATTTTGCAGGCTTTCTTTCCTCAAAAATGTATTTTTTTCCTGATAATGAACCCCGTACTAGGCTGGCTGCTAGCCAGCTACTTTCATGCACTCTTTCTGTAGGTACTTAACATCAGCTTTGTGTAGCTTGGTTACAGAAAAAGAACTATCCTGTTTTCCTCACAGGAGTAACATCGATCATCTTGTCTTTAACAGTCTGTCTTCTGCATCAGTGCAACTGCAAGAATCTGCCCAATTCTTCTGTCTCACTGTGTTACTAGATAAGAAAAACATCAACCAGACCATTTTTGACATAAATATTTAAGAGCCTAAAAAAACATCAAAAAATTAAATATCGAGTCAATCTAGTTCTTGTGTTCATTTTAGGTACAAAAGTGCTTGATATTCACTTGCTTATTCATCACGGTCAAGCATTAATGTGTCTGACACCAGTTTTGGCTTGCAGCTCATTAGTTTTCCAGTAGTTACTCTTGCAACAGTTTTTCCTGCCTTTCTATCAGTTATTTTTTTTCATACTGTTCTACTATCTACATTTTCTTTTTAACAACTCACCCTTACGCAAACTATTGCCAAATACTGTCTTCTGTATCTTTACCTTATCTTTCTTGCAAGAAGATTAAGCACGTATTACCAAGAATGGTGCAATCTTAAATTTACAAATTATTGCATAACTTGTGGTGTGGTATAAAATACAAGAAAAAAAATAGAATGCATTCATTTAACATTCATGATTGGTATATGAGATACTGAGGAGTCATACTGCTTATACTTTTATCAATGCCTTTACTAAGACTCATTTAAGGATTACAACAAGGGTTAATTCATTAAGAACATTTTTTTTTTTTTTTGACAACTAGTTTAAGGTGTGCAGAAGACTGAAAACAGCAGGATCAGTAGTGAGTCCTATTGAAGTTTAGCCATGCCTTTTCTCTTGCCAGGCTTCACATCTGCCCTTCCTACCCACCTCCGACACTAAGCAGATATACCAGAACCCTATGACAAATGAAAGTAATTTCTTTAACAACCTGGAGAAAGCAGTAAAACTGTTTAAGAAGCTAAGGCAAAATTAATAAATACTTTTTATACAAGGATATTTAAATATAATTTCTTAGCTTCATTTTAGAAAGAACAGAATCAGAAAAAGAAGCAGTCTTCTGATTACTTCTGCATTTTCCTACAGTTTATGACATTCAGCATTTTCTAGATAAAGTATTTGACACTAACAGAGAAAAATTCCCCAAAAAATTCAGGTGGCAAGATTCTCTAGCAAGCATAGGAAGGTAGTGAGGGCTAAACCAGGAACAGATGTCATATAAATCCCACTAAAATAAAGTATCAGATCTATCAAAAAACCAAACAGGCTTGAGAATGAATGCATTTAGAAAGAAACATAAGTATTAACTGCATCTCACACTTCTGATAGTATATGGTAAAGTGCTACTTTCAGGTTCAGTAGACTATTTATAATCTGCTGCAGAAATAGGGCCTAGGTAAATAGCTCTCCAGAACCACATATTAGAGCATTTAGGAAAGCAAAACTGAGTGGGTATATTAAAATCGGAATATATTTTTTTTACAACCCAAGTTTCAGAGATGCCTCCCTAAAACAGAAAATTGATTACAATTATATTTTTTAACTAATGGAATTTACTGCTTCTGGAGAGGACTGATGCCTTGAAGTTACAGTAAAAGAACTGCAAAATGAAGTTTACGCTAAGTGATGATTAAAATCTTGTCTTCCTTTGCGTTAAAAAGCACAACATACGAAATGAGAAAATAGTGTCAGTTGTTACTGTTTTTCTTCCCAAGGAAGTGCTAACTGGTATTACAGAAACATGCCTTGGGTATAGGTAATACAAACTACTAGCTCAAAATGCTGCCCTGGCAGTTTTTCAGTACTCATAAATTGAATATGGCAACAGCACATGTTCACTGTTGATTACATTTGTACAACCAGAGATCAATCCTACACAACTGCTGTCGTTTTGACTCCAATCAGACTATATGAGTGCCAGGAATATGAAAATTTGGGTTTACTATACACAAGTAAAAAAGACTTCGGGCAACTGCCTTCCATGTATTTACTATCGTATAAAATGATACAGTTAACCCCTTTCTCACAGGGTTCCCATAATAGCTGTATCTAGCTCTGTACATACTTGTCAGCTCCTCCCCTAAAGATTATTTTAGTTTCTCTTTTACTGCCTCTTTTGTCTGGGTTGAAATTCCATGATAAAATCCAGACAGAGACTAAAACTTCTTCCTCAAAAGCCTCCTGTGTTACTCATCCTCTGTCGACATATCCACAAAACGCCGACTGATACCACCAGTAAACAGATGTCAGTCTATAGGCCCCTTCTGTCCTCTTTACTTTTCCCCACTGCCTTTCTGTACTCCTGCTTATCAAAACAGTAAACAAGAAGAGAGGAACTACATTACTTGCTAAAGATAATCTAGTGATTTGGTGCTTGGTGTTCATATGTTGTAGATATACCCTCTAATCCCCACTTTTCTGCTTGCCCATAGCTTAGAAGTACACTAGCAAAGATTGTGTCCTTTCCATGCTAACACAGAATCCAGTCTGAAATTACCTAAATCTAGTTACATATGGTGGCATTAATACCTTCACGGTCAATAATCATCAGGACTATCAAAAGTAATGGAAAATAAACTTATTTTTGTTTTTAAACAGCAACTTTGTTGATCACTTCAAGATCAGCGGAAATATTGAAATATTATTTTAAAAATCATTATCGTGAGGCCATCTTCCAAATGGGAAACACCACCCAGTAGCAATAAACAAAGAATAGCAATTTGCAGTTTTATTGTTAAAAATAAGCATGATCTACTACCAGATTGGATTTTTATCTGTAAATATACACATAAATAAAGTAACTTTTTTCCTCTCCAGTATTTGATTGCCAAACGCCTTCATATATGAATAGAAATAAAAAGACTTATTTCTACAGAGTGGACTATGTAAATGGAAAAAAACCCTGTAGTTCAAATACACATCACAGAGGTAAGAATATTACAGGGACCAAATTCAGTGCATTGTCAGGCACATACTTAACAAACCTTTATGCTGGAACATTAACTTAATAGAGCTCATGGTGTTCACCTGCATGAAACTACTTCTGGGATAACTGGCAATCTTGCTTTCCATGCCAGAGCAAACCAAACTGGTTTATGCAGGCAAGGAATGGTTTCATGAGTCCTATAAAATTATTCTAGTTGAGGGGGAAAAAAAAAGTAATTTTGAAAAAAACTGCATAGCGGATGATTATACTGATTATTTTTAAGAATAAAGCCATTGCATTTTAGAGAGCAGTAATTACATACAGAATGTCTAAGTCACAGTACGCAGGGCTTCTTAAGCCCTTGAACCTTCTTCACTTGAACCACAAGAATCAGGTTTCAGCCATGGCAATTTTGGCATGCAATCAGAACCAGTACTTAAATAGCAAAACCTGTAAACACTAATTATTAGTTTGAAACTGTGAATGCTATCGTATATATAATCTCAATTTTTATGTCTTCCCTCTCCCTCTAATCTTCTGACTCTTTTTCCAACCTTGGTGAGCTACATCTCCAATCCATCCAACCCATGTGCATCTTGCTTTGCCTAAATCCCAGGCAAACCAAATTGCTGGTACTCTTTCTTTAGTTATTCCCTCCTATTCTGCTGTATACACACCCTGATCTGATTAGAGCTATGACACTGCCTGGAGCAGGGGAAACATTCTCCAAGTGCAGTAAGGGTGGAGATGGTGCACTGTACAACTGCAGTGTCCTTGCTAAAAAATATGCTCCCTTTAACCTTAAAATTCTTAATGATTTCCTTTAGAATATTATTCTGAGCCCCTAAGAGAGTTAGGGGTGGAGAAACACTTGCTATGTTGAGAAATTCAGTAATAATATTTTTTGCGAAACGATCATTTGCAAGGGTGGTTAGTTAACAGCTCGACATCCAGTCAGACAGGCTAGTAGCCAGAAGAACAGGAGGAGATGGTATATATGCTCTCTCATACATATTTAACACTTGCAAATATTTATGTTTGCATAGGGAAATTAAGGACAAAAGGTAGTAATTAATTAAACAGTACTTCTTTACTGAATATTCTGAGTTTTATATATGCATGGAGAACAGATTCCATAAAATATTTTGAGAATATTGCTACACATGCATTTTGACTCATGTTTTAGGGCTTTGTTTGGATGGGGTTTTTTTTGGTTTGGTGGGGGTCTTTTTTAGGTTTTTTTTTTTTTGTTTTTTGTTTTTTTTTTTTAATTAGGTAGCAGTATTACTACATGTCACATATTTTTTCATGAATAATTCACAATCCATAATACCACTTGCAGGCAATTTTTACTGCTTGGTGTCTTCTCTGTTCCTGAACTCAGAAACTAAAAGTTAAACTGAATTAAACTGCTAATACCTATTTAATATTTTTATGTACAGAAACAACAAAACATTTGCTGTTCACTACATTGTAAAGGCCCAAAAAGAGACATTAGGAACATATAAAAAAATGGTTCGTTGTGAGCTGTGAAGATGCACCACTGTTGTACAGATCAGTAGTGTGTGAAGTGCTGGGATCAAAGGAAGAGTCATCTGCTGAATGTAAAGGTGATTCTTTTCATCCCCACTCAAAAAAAAAATTAAAAAATCAAATCTCAAACTCAGAAGTATCGCTGGTATCACACTGAAATGGAAATTAGTGCTCCTCTGATATGTTTAACATTGCATGAATGGTCTAGGTATGTTAAATCATTTAGGACTGAACAATCTGATTTTACGGCCTGAAAAATAATGACATAACTTAAAAGTACTTTGACATGAAAATAAAATTCGGTGTTGTTCTAGGTCAGGTGGTTAGGGCTTAATACGAATGATCTCAATACGACTTCTGAGTCTTAGGATAGAGCGTTTTGCAGGCAGTTTGTTTTTTTTGTATTTTTACCTGCTTCATGCATGAATTAATATAATTTTTAAATATCTGGAAAGAAAAATCAGAAAAAAGAACTTTGTCAAATGCTTATCCCCTGCTCTATACCCAAAAATACAGAATTTCCTGACAGCTACCATTTTTCTTAAGAAGGAAGAATGACAAATAAAAGGCTGATCTCGGTGACTTTTTAATGTACTATTTGACAATTCTTTTATTCTCCCATAGAATATAATCTTGTACCATTTAAATAGTTTGAACTAATGACAAAAAAGTTTATTATCTTTGTACCCCTGTATATTTTGTG